GGGATCCAAAAATCCTCAAATGGACATTCCATACGTACGCTCACCAGTATTCAAAAGGAAACCGGTATACACTCCCCTAAACTATAACAAACTGCTACTCACGTACATTCCTTGTCATGATGATCCCTCCCAGGGCCCTGGCCAGCTGAAGATGCCCCTTGGAATCCTGAAGGCTCCTTGGCGTTTTAAGGTTTACCTAGGGTTCACCCTAGGGTGGTTTGGGGATAATGGAAAAGAAAATGGAAACAATTATCATGGGGTTATATGCGGGTTATATCCCTAAACCCTAAACCCTATAAACCCTAGACCGTGCTTTTTTGGGGATTTGGTAGCTTAGTAGAAGGGCTGGAGGCTCTGGGATACAGAGGTCTAAATAGAGGAAGGAAGACCTAAATGTCAGAGATTATAGTCCCCTTAAGTAGATAGACAAAACATAGGCTATATGGGGACCTTATTATGATATTGAGCAATTCCATAGAATATCCACCGAAGCGGGACCATAGGTCCATAGGTAGATTTTTGGACTTGAGGTTGGTGTTCGGACTATCGGATTCAGGTCTCAGGCTGGTAAATGAGGTGGAGGTGGGAGGGGGGAAGGGCTACTGAGAAATAACCCTAACAGGGACATCAACCGGAACCCTGTCTCCTGTCTAAACCCTTTTTCCTCCACATCTTCAGTCCGACCTGGAAAATGACAAGTGCCTCCTGGCCAGTCCTTTCTGCTTCAAACCTTTCGAGAAGGTAGAGCCCAAGTATGTCCGTGGTACAGGACTTGCGCAGGCTGTAAACGCCAACAATTCATACGAATCATACATAGTCCCAGGACCCAAAGCCTCATGTTGAAACCTATCCTGCCCTGCCCTTAGCTGAGCATAGCACACCTATACAGGAGGGCCTTAAAGTGTGGGATTGCCATTGCCCCCAAAATGCTCCAGCTTCGGCCCCAAAGTCCAAAAGCCCCCTCGGACCCCCAAAACTCTTATCTGTGCACGCCAAAGACCCCCCCCAAACCTTCCCAATCCCTTTCCCTTGAATACCGTGCTTCTTAACCCCAAGTCCCCTGTCTTCTTTGTTTGAACCGTTCTGAGCGCAAATGAAACAATCCCTGATGCCCAGAGCAATTGCTTTCGGAGTCTGAATACATTCCATGACTCTTTATGGCTGCAGCCCTACCCCAGTCTGAACCAAAGTCCCAGTCCCCTGGCTTGCAACCTAAGCACCCTACCCCATGGCCCCCAAGCCCGAGCCTCAAGTCAAGAATCTCTACACCCTGCAAAATGCGCTAGCCTCGATGCCTACTAACACCGACAGTCAATCCCAATCCCAAACGATCAAGGAATTCTCGAAGTAAGCGCCGCGCGCTCAGGGCCAGCATCTGCAAGGGCAGGAGAAGCAACCGAAGCCTGGGAGAGGGGTCTGGTGTGGGCTTTGGTCTAATTATCTTGGGGGTTGAGGGGGTGGGTTGTTCTCTAAACGGGCTTGGGAGCGTTTTGGATTTAGGATCTAGCGTTTCAGCTTGCTGGAGCCCGGTCAAAGTCATTTTTGGGGGATTGCAGAGGGCGAGTCGGTCCTTCCATGGACCTTTACATTCCGCAAGGTTTCACGTGGGTAGTTACCAGAGGTTTGGGGCTTAGGGTTGAGGGTGTAAAGGCTCATATAAGGCTTGGATGGAGACACTATGACTATATGAGGGCTGTGCGCGGCTCTTCTTTCTGAGATTTCAGGTACGGCTTGGGTGGGCTTTGCCAAGGAATGCAGATATGTATTTGGAGGGTCAGGGGGGCGTAGTAAGTAGACTAATAATGGGGATAACTAGGGTTGCTATATTAATATATGGGTTATAGACGTACATACTAACTCTCCCTCCCTGACCCTGCAAGTAGGGTGCGCGTGTCGGGCTTCTGAAGCATGTAGGCTTTACATATGCCGCAGAACTACAAGAGGTGAAAAACCGATGACCGCACACGTCTTTGTCTGGAGCTTTTAGCTGTTAGGTGTAAAAGCAGAGGTGCCCATGGACTGTACCCCCCTAATCCTCTCAACTTAGCTGGCATCCATGCTGTTTTTAAGTCCGCTCATGTGTTCCTGCACTTGCCAAGGCCAAATCCCTGCCCCTTTATCCAAGGCTAAGGGTTCCAGGGAGAGGCTTGACATATTCCCAACTCTTGTGCTTCAACTTTTTTGAGGCGAGTGGCACTCTACACCTAAAATACCCCACATCGTAAACCTCCTGGGAATCTGCAGGGAACATGGGAACATATTTTAGGGATTATATTCCCTCATCCGCTACTAAGAACCAGTAAGCTAAAAGAACTCTGTTCTCCAAAGCTTGGCCCTCCATCCCCAAAGGGTCCAAAGTACCAACATGGTACAAAGTATGGTTTCTGTAGTAGTAATTTCCCTTATGGTTTGAGTAAGTATTCCCCATGTGAGTACCTAGGACCCTTTGGGATCCTCATGCTGGGAAGGCTAGGATCCAGACACCGGTGCGCCATCCTTGGGCCCATTCATGGTCCAAAGGAGTCTCAGGGATAGGGCCGGGGACGCAGGACTTGATAAAAGTGAGAAGATCTGGGGATATAGTCCCCCTTAAGTCGATAGAATATGGGGTATATTGGAGATCTTATATTATGATATACAAAGCCATATTCTATCTACTTAAGGGGGACTATAAGAGGTCAAGAGGGTTTCAGGACTTGAAAAGTTCTGGTGCTGAATTAGAGTTCACGGCTGTTCAGAGGCGTAGAAACAATGTCTTCAAGACCAATGTGCTGCGTGGGGTAACGTTCTTCAACCCTCAACGAACAAAGATCTATCCTATTAGAAGTCCCTATACCAAGGCAGAGTGATATCCTATGGTAGGCTCCAACAAAGGTTGTTGCATGCTTCATCCCCCCAGCTCCGGGACCTTGTGTCGCTATCTGGCTCCACGCAAGCTGTGCATCTTCCGCACTGCGCTTCTAACTTCAGAAAAACAGAATCTTTCAAGACACTACCTGAACTTTGCCGAATCATAATCTGTGCCAAAATGTGTGAACACATTGACGTAGAGGTCAGTTCAACAGTCTCCTTGTATACAGTGGACCTTCTGGTTACAAAACAATATCCAATTCCCAAACTGTGACCCGTGGTAAGGTTCCATGGGTAACATAAGCCCTACATCGTCGCCTTCGTTGGGGCACAAATCTTCCTATCGGAGGCGCGGCTTACATCAAAACCAGAGACCCAAATCCAAATCCCGATCCTCGCAGAAAACCCTTCAGAATCCCTGATGGCTTAACATCGCCCATTAGCCCTTCCCTAGCCCTTATGCTTGTCCAATAACAAGACTTGTTGCTGTGCTAAACCGACAATCCCCTCATGTACACTTCTCATATTGTTCACATTCCTACGCAACCCCAGGAGGTGCTGATTTAGTCGGTGGCATGTACGGACATGTCTCCAAGCTATGGCATGACACTTTCCTTGTCGGGGGGGACCTACAACGAGGAACACACTATTTAGGGCCCATGCATGGGGAACCTCATTGTTAATGCCATTGCATCCGTACAAAGCTCATCTGTGAGCCATGCTAGAGCTTCGCCATTGATCGCGGACAGTGCGAAAGCCTGGCAGCTCCACAGGGATCCCTGAAGAGAAGGTTGTAGGGATGCAGGCTTAGGGCTCAGGAACTTGATACCAAAACCAGCAGACCTATGACTCCCTAAGCCACTTTGAAACTATGCTTCCAAAACCCTACCCGTGTGCCCACAGTTCTTCTGGTGTGAGGCAATGCTAGGTCGTTGAAGACTAGACAACTGAAAGACCATATCGGTGACCGATAGTTCCAGAGATGCAAGGTATTGACCGGTCTCACACCGTAAGCCGCCAAGCCCGAATCAAGGATATCGCAGACGCAATTCTTTGCCCTGGCCCCAAGCCCAAACAACCCTGACAAGGGCTCACAAACCATAGCCCCCCACTAAGGCTTGAATTACAACTCCTATTTCCGACGCTAAAAGCCATCACTCGTTCATGCGCCCCTTCTGAGCCAAGAGCTGAAGCGACGACTGCGGTGAAAGCTGTCATTGCCTGAGAAGTGCTTTGGCAGGACCAATAAGACCTAATGGGACTTCATACTTGGAAATGAACAACCCTCCAACGCGCGGTTGCAAGGCCACAGTTGACGTCCTTCAGTTGCATTTTGTGCGCACATAGTCAGCTCTGTAGACCAGATTCTGAATAAGCATGTATAGGATTACAAATTGCAGCCTGTCCGTGAAACGGGCACCGGCGCAAGCGGTTTGTCTCCCGTACCATATGGCTATGGCTATGACAAAACTAACTACTATAAGCGTCATGCCGACCACTGAAGCCCCATACCAAGGAAGACACAGGATAACACGTCACTTCTCACGTGGTCTATGGTTAAGATGCCACGATAGAACCATGTTACTGCCATGATATTTGATAAACACTTTGCCCCTCGGAGGGGCATGTGTCAGGTTCAGGCCCTTGGACTGTGGGGCTTGGTGACGGTCCCGCGCAGTCAGAGAGACCTGTGCAACAACGTTGTGCGGACCTCAAATTCGAAACGCCATCCTCCAACCCCTTCACTCTTGAATATCACATCCAGGGCTACAACAGTCCCACACACACAAAACAATAGCGTGCTCCCCGACTTGCTCCTGCAGCTGTGGCCGCTGCGCGGCCAGCAAAAGCCTTGAGTGGTCTGTGCAGGATATAAACTGTGCGGCCACCAACCAAGCTATGCTCCAGGACAATGATAGGATGCAAAGTTAAGTGCTTGCACATTTTCATGTGACATAGAGTAGTTACTGCATTTGGGGTAGCGGGGCTTTTTGTTGTATTAAAAGGATTGTTGAACTATCTGGACTGTTATGCCGGGCTCTTGCAGCTGGTTGGCACGAAGTCGCAAGATGCAGCGATGACAAAGTCTCAGGAGATATCTGGGCTACTTTCTGCTGTTTTATGCGGCGTTTATCCTGGCAGCTGCCACATTAGAGCTTGCAGGTGCAAATGGGCATGCGATTGCTTTCGTGCCTGCCGACAAATCGCCTCGAAAAGTTCTCATCCGTCAGAATCATTGCTGAGGCAAACTTGGAGAGCTCACCATTCTCGCGCAGGACTCCAAAGCGGTAAGCCCAACGCTCATAACCACAGGTAAAAAGAACGGGATAGCGTGTAAGGAGGGTTGCAGCTTGTCCTGCAGGCACAAACTGCCGTAACAGACTGATCTTTCTGGACAAGTTCCGCGAAATACTTAGATTGAAAAGCTGCGGTTGGGAAACCGCTACGCTGATGATCTGGCACTGACTGAGACCCAGCCCTGCAAGCCACTGCACTTTGGGCTTCAGGTTCTCTTCGATGCTGTATCCTAACACCTGTGGATTCCGAGCAATCACTTTGGCAACCTCCGTCTGCTTGAGACCCAAGTCTCGGAACCATTGGACTGTGGGCTTCATGTTCTCTTCGATGCTGTATCCTAACACCTGTGGATTCCGAGCAATCACTTTGGCAACCTCCGCCTTCTTGAGACTCAAGTCTCGAAACCACTGGACCGCGGGGTGCAAGTTCTCTTCAAAGCCACGTCCCATGATCTTTGGGTTTCGAGCAATGGCTTTGTAGATCTCTTCCTCCTGCAGGCCCAAGTCTCTTAGCTTCCAGATTATGCGCCCGCAATTGTCTGCAGAGGTGTATGCGACCAGGGCAGTCCCTCTGTTTCCAAGCTGATCTCTCAGCCAATTTGCGCGTGAAGAGGAAATGTTCAGCCGCATGCGCAGCAGGTTATGTACGCTCGACATGTTGACCCTTAGGGTACGTTCTGCCAACAAGTTCTGAGTAAACTCAACCGCCGTTGCAGTGTTCAGATTTCCAGGACTCACCAGAAAGTCCTGAAGAGCTCTGTTCAACTTAGGCTTGAGCACGTGTGCCAGCTCTGCCAGCAACTTCTCGACCACCTGACCGACCGTTACCAAGATCGATTTGCCTTGACCCACCTGCCATGAATCTACGATCACTTCTCTCGTCTCGCAAGCAAACTTAAGTCCGCGGTGGCCATGCGCTACGCGCAAGACCTGTGACCCTGCGGGAGCATTCATGAGAAGCGCCTTGCTCTTGCGGACATCTGCAAGTCTGCCAGCAGAAGTGTTGTGCCGGTAGTATCCGTCATATTCAAGAAACAACGCTGCTTCGTTCAACTTCAATGCACCATACACAGCCATGTCCGGGCTTACGAGATTCTTGCCCCACTTATCACTCTTCTCTGCCGGAAAATTCCGGAAGACCTCCTTGAGAGGCTCTTGAGGTTGCAGCAGCAGCGCCAGGTGTGAGAGGAGTTCGGCCTCTGCGATGCTTCCCGGCCGCTGCCGCGCATGCCCGGCCCTCCACCACTTTGGCGCGATGGGCACTGAGCACTGAGTCCACCGGAGGACGGCCAGAAGGCCAATGAAGAAATATCTCATACATTTCTGCGAACTCTGATTCCTGCGCGGTTGGCTCATCCTAGAAACCATGGAGCTGTAGCTTTTTGCCCAGCAGCTTGAAGCTCTGCAGCTGCGAAATGCTTTGTTGTTGCTTTATCCGCCTAATATAGCCTGCGCCTTTCAACACAATCTTGTGTTCACAGCGGTCGCAGAAATGGTGTAACCTGCCTGAACTTACAACATGGTGACCACCTAGAGTTGAAGCTGCTGGACCTAAGCCGACCGGTTAGGTAATAGGGACAATTAAATAAGGGTTACTATGTGGGTTAGAAGGGGTTATAAGCCCACTTATTTAGTCCCCCTGACCTTCCAAGGCACGTCAAGCCATAAAGCATACATCTAACGACACCTTTGCTTCAAGACCTGAAGCTTCTTTGGGCTGGAGGAGGGAACATAGGTACCCATACATGGGGTGTGCTATGGGAATTACCAAGGGGTCACTCTAGACTTATGGGAATTACATAGGGATCTTTCTAAGGATCCACTCCTCCACTCCCCTACCCTAAACCCTCAACCCTCAACCCTAAACCCCAAACCCCAAACCCTAAACCCCTCTTAAGCACCAGTAAGTAAAGCCCTCTTTCAGCCCAGCTGCGGCAGCAACAGATGCTCCCGATTTCGACTTGTCCGTGGAAGAAGTGCCGGGCTCCTGTATAGGGTGTAGGGTTTAGGGGTTTGGGGTTTAGGTTAGGATTTAGGGTTTAGATTTTGGGGTTTAGGATTTAGGGTCTCAGATT